TTCCCCCCCCCCCCCCCTTCAGAATCAGAAACTTCACATTGAAAACAGACTGCTCAGAGAAAAGACGAGTGGCTTACTGACAGAAAATGAGGAACTGAGACAGAAACTTGGGTTGGATACCCTTGACTCAAAAGAGAAGGTAAGACTAAGAGCAGATGTCAGTGATGGGTTGGGACTTAGATTTTTTTTGGAATTTGAGTCTTAATTTTTTTATTTTCTTTTTCACAGGTTCAGGTTCTGTTACCCACCGGGAACGATGCAGGTTTAGGGGTCGGGTCTTCTGAGTCCGCAGCACTCAGGCTATGTGTGCCTCCGCAGCAGGTGCAGGCCCAGCAGTCCCTAAATCAGAAGACTTCCCAATGGATACAGATGGTCCTCACAATACAGGCAATGAGGTTAGTATCTGAGGACGGTTAACTTTCACAATCCTCTCAGACAGATTTATCCTTAGACTGGTTGTAGGTCAGTAGGCTAATCAACTCTGGTTTTTATTTTTTATTTTTTTAGTCTGATTTGCTCTTGGGCTTTCTGGACATCCTTGACCCAGAGCTGTTCCTCAAGTCTTGTGAGCAGGAGTGCCAGGAGCAGCAGGTGCTGCAGGTCGGAGTGGGGAACCCAGTACCTGCCGCCACACCTGCGCCTCTGGGGGGCCCATCAGTTAAGCTGGAGGCCCTTAATGAACTGATCCACTTTGACCACATCTACACCAAGCTTGTGGAGCTGGTTAGCGATGAGCAGGTCACGGACTCGGACAGCAACAGCGAGAAGATCGAAGAGGCTTCCTTCACCATGGCTGAGGTGGTGGTCGAGGAGGAGACTGTCTGCGTCAAAGATGAGCCGGAGGAAGTGGTCATCCCCAGCAGTGACAGTCAGAGTCAGGTGGATGACTTCTTCCCCGCGGCCCCCACCTCAGCTTTCAGCAGCCTGGATAAGGAAGCCTGTCTAGCGGACACCTACAGCGACTCTGGATATGAAGGGTCCCCGTCCCCTTTCAGCGACATGTCCTCCCCCCTGTGCTGTGAAAGCTCTTGGGATGACATGTTTGCTAATGAACTCTTCCCACAGCTTATTAGTGTCTAAAAAAAAAAACCAACTCTGTGCCCTCAAAAACGTACCGTATACAGTTGACGTGTAGTGTTTAACTACACTTTAAGCATATGATGCGCCTCTTCACCCACTTATAGGCTAATGTTAAGCACATAATCTCCTCGTATTACAGCAGGTTTGTACCACTGATACGTTGACTTGTGGGATGTGGAGTTTCGTGTGAGCTTACTTTTAGCTTCATACTTAATTCACCGCAAAGGATCTAAGATTCAAATCTTTCACTTTTTCTTTTGAAGACACATGGGTAGAATTCAGTATTTCTGTAAATCTGTAAAGGGCACGGGGACCAATCATTTAAATGTTATTTATTTGTATCCTCAGCTTCAGAGTCCTTGTATATGTACGCTTGTAAAAAAAAAAAAGCTTTCTTCTAATTTGTTGCTCTCTTTGTAGTCTAATATCTGCAATAAAAAAACTGCATTGCACCTTTGTCTGGTTCAGTTTGTACTTTGTACACATTTCCTTGAAGTTGTTTTCTTTTTGATTTACCTCGAACTAGAGGAAGTAAAAAGGTTTATTGAACAGCTTCAACTTCACAGATAATACCAGTATATTTTAGCAAAAATCAAGGCTGTCAAATAACACTTAGATTAATTTCACAAATTAACATAATTTGAGTCAAAAATTAAATACATGAGCAGAATGACATTTGCTGTATATCCCATAATTACACCATATTGGATGTGCTAATACAGTGTTTCCCAAACTTTTAAAAGTCACAAACCGTCTCGACGCAAGTCCAATAGACATTATTCGTAAACTCCTGGGAAACGTGAGATGGCCCAAAATAAATGTCTTGCGACCCACCTGAGGGTCGTGACCCAGTCTTTGGGAAGCAACATGCTAATACACAGTAGATATACATGCAAGTAGCTTGAGCTTAAAATAGCACAAGTTGACATGATAATTGCCAAAAGGATCGCAAAATTATTCCATCATTAATTAATTAATGATTCCTGGGAGTCTAACCTGGGACTCTTGTAACCCGTCTTTACCAGTAAAAGCAAACAGTATAAGCCCTGTATTTTCTTACTACTGATTACAATTGTTGTGTAAATAGAACGGGGCCACGCCTGTTTTTATTGATTATTAAACGAACAGTAGCAAATCAATAAATTGAAAGGACAAAAAATATCGAGTAAAAAATATATTTGAGTATCGTCAGTGTTTTGACCTCCCCCCGAGGCATTTATTTTAACGACTGTGAGGATTCATCTGTCCTGTTAGAAGAGACAGTTCCCCAGACCCACCCAGTGGACAACCCCCCC